GCGGCACGCTCCAGTTGTGCCAATGCGGAGACTGATGGTGTTAAAGCCTCCTACCTGAATTTGAATTCTGACTACGTATCTTTGTAACTCCATTACCTTCAACAAGTTACTTAACCTCTCTGACCCTCATTTTTCCTTGGCTATAAAATGGGCATAATGGAGTGAATGCCAGGGTTACACTAGTGCAGTGCTTTCAGCAGTGCCAGATGCTCGATAAATGTTATCCCTCTGAGAAGACACTGAGGGCTCCCCATAAGAAAAGGACCTTTGTTATTCCAACTCAGGTGCTTTAAGCAAACATGATAGAACGGTGTGAAGAATAACCACTTCAAAGAGCTTAATTTCATATCTCAGCTCCACTAGAGAAACATCACCACCAGGCTGAAGTGCTTTTCTGTTCCCTGTCATTGTTAGAGAAAGGAGGAAGACAGGAGAGCCAGACCATTTCACTTCTCTGACTCCTTCCCTGGATTGTTTCCTGTCAACAGGCAGGCAAGATAAACAGTGGTTAAGGACATGGACTTGAGCCTGACGCTTGGATCCAAACCCTGATTCTGCCATTAACTAGCTGTGTGACTTAGGGCTAGTTCCTCCACTTTCATACACCTCAGTTTCTTCATCTGTGAAATCAAGATAATAATAGTAACTAGCTTCCGTTTTTCAGGGGTGTGAGGAATTAAATGTGTAACATACTTAAAGCTCTTAGAACAGTGCCCAGCATTAACAGTGCCATATAAGTGATAGTTATTATAAAAGCTATTGCTATTAAAGAACGGTACAAGGAATCATTCACATGCATATAGTCATGAAATACTGAGTAAAGACAGAAGGGTCTTGTCAAAGTTGGTAGTCACTAAGCAGTTAGCTCCATGAAGACAAAAAGCTATATTTTGTTTCTATACTATTTGTTGAAAAATGAATGAATGAGGCATGAAGCACTAGACTAGTTAGATGGCATCATAAAGAGGAAAGCACACTATACCCAGAGGTGAAAACCCAAAGCATGAGGCCTGGCTTAGATCCATTTTAATTTGACTAGGTGATTTATCTTCCAGACACTCAGTTTTCTCAACTTTGAAACAGTGAAGTCAATGAGAAGATTTCTGAGGTTCATCCCAAATCCACAATTTTATAGGGTTAGTTGTCCTTTGAAATTTTACAAAACGTAATGTAATCGTGGCTACAAGTCTTTTTCACATACCTAGTGTATTTCCAAAAAAGATTATCAAGTTGGAAACAATATCATTTGTTTGTGTTTTCTGAGTCATTATGTAAGAATCTGAGCCACAATAAACCTTTAAATCCATTTAAATGGATTACTTTTAGCAGGATTGATAACTTTTTTTTTTTTATTTTTTAAGATGACCAGTAAGGGGATCTTAACCCTTGGCTTGGTGTTGTCAGTGCCACACTCAACCAGTGAGCTAACTGGCCATCCGTATATAGGATCTGAACCTGTGGCCTTGGTGTTATCAGCACCACACTCTCCCGAGTGAGCCACAGGCCGGCCCAGGATTGATAACTTTTAAAGCTCTTGGATTGTGAGAATAAAACTGATAAGGACATTTTTCCATTTATTTTAAATGAATTTTAGGAAATTCTAAGAATAAAAGATAATCCATACACATCTAATACTAATTTATCATTAACACATAGATAATGAAAGTAGAACTGATCTAGTTTAGTTTAGCAATTCTCAGCTAAATTAAATTAAGCTGATTTAGCTGAGCTTCTAAAACATGAGGGCGAAGAGCATAAAGCCAAAGGATTTCGTGGAACTGGCATCAGGATTGCCTCTCTTCAGATCATGTTCCTGGAATTTGGGTTCCTCAGAGATGCCTGCAGTCACTGTCACTACTGAAGGCTAGAAAAAAGCCATGAGAGGTTTGTCTACTGCGACTTGGCTGCCTTTGTTGGCTTTATAAGCTGGATAATGGCATAAAGATTCCATCTGGGAACAAAAAAGATTCTGCTGTGGAAAAAAGAAGGGAGGATGGTTTGAAATCAGAAAGTCTGGATTAATACTGACTTTGAGTCAAACAAGGTTTAAATTTTAACTCTGCTACTTTTTAGTTATGTGACCTTGGCCCAGTTGTTTAATTTCTCTTAGCCACACTTTGTACTTTTAATGATTTTTCTCACCTCATAGGGCTACTGTGAGCATTAAATGACACAATACGTGTAGAGCACTTGACCCAAAAGACCTAGAACATAGCACTAATAAATAGTGACAGGTGGACAGCTTCGAGAATAGGTAATCTATATTCTCTTTTGGTAGCTTCTGATGCTCCTTTTGGAATGTCTCAGAGGCTTAGAAATCACCAGTTAGGCCTTCTGCTATAAAATGCGTCTAAACCTCAGTTTATTTAGTGAGCCCTATGGGTTTTTTCTAAGATCTATTCATGGTTCGATGTGGGCACCAGACAAAGGTTCACTTTGAAAGACTGTCTAGCAGGCCGGCCAGTGGCTCACTCGGTAGAGTGCGGTGCTGATAACACCAAGGCCACGGGTTCGGATCCTATATAGGGATGGCTGGTTTGCTCACTGGCTGAGCGTGGTGCTGACAACACCAAGCCAAGGGTTAAGATCCCCTTACCGGTCATCTTTTAAAAAAAAAAAAAAAAAAAAGAAAGACTGTCTAGCTAGGTTAAAAATAAAATATGCAGAAATGTGTGGAACTTCAACACTAGAATATAGGAAAATGGGTTATTCTTAACTGAAAACAAAAGCATTATAGTATATGAATGTGTATGTAAATATGTAGAAAAGGTCCAGGAAGTATAAACCCCAAGATGACGACAGTCACCTCTGGGGAAGCAAGACTGGGGAGGAGGTGAGATATACCTTGATATTGTTTTAATGCATTACACATTTATTTACATATTAGTTGTGTAATTAAAAATCCGAAAGGAAACCAAAGAAAAAAGAAAAACCGAAAGCAAAGTCATAGTACAAACTGAAATGAACATTTAGAATACAGAACTTGTATAATAAACCAAAGCAGACAAGAATCAAGGAATTATCCCTGGGGCTGTCAATGACTTGATGCAAAGTCATATTCTACTTAGTTGTCCTTGAGGAGCAAGGAGGGAGGGGTGGGGTGGGGTGGGGAGACTTCTGGTTTTATTTCCAGCAACTGATAGAACCAGGTTAGAAGTCAAATGAAGCCAGTTATTTTGGTATAAACTTCTTTCCCTCTGCATGTACTCAGATAAAACATCAGTACCCTGGCTTGTTCTTTGCAAAATTCAAGATCTGCCAAGGTACCAACTGAAGTCTACTGGGTAAATTACGATTTCCAGCAAAACAAAACAAGATTGTAAATTATTATTTCTGTTAGTACATTCCCATAGCAAATAAGAGACAACTTACAAAAATCTACGTGACAGCTAGCTGGTTAAGGACACCTGAGAAGTTTTTAAATACCCCCAATAATACCAAATAAATAAATTAATCAAAAGAGAGGAGAGAGTTTAAGTACTGAAATTAGGCTATGATATTTTTCATTAGCAAAACCTCACTGGAAACTAGTTTTCACAAAGTGTCCTTCCCTTGGAAAGAGATATTTTGGCCACAGGGAAAAACTAAGCAGCACTGTGGAGCTCTGTGAAGTTGCACTGACTTGCTTTCATTCAGCTTGCAGACTTCACTAGTGAGAGATCCCGCCTGGTGCTACTGCTTTGAGAGCAGTGGCCAGGACAGGTTGGTTTTTTGTTTTGGATTTGATGCACATGTTTTGACACACAGTCATAAGGAAAGATTTCACTTTACTGATGAGAACTCAGTCAAGGGTGTGTGGGAGCCTCTGCTGGCCCTCTGGCTGGGTCTGATATGCTGTCTGGGTTTCCAGTCCTGCCTTCCCAGCTTGCCCACTTGGTGCAGGGAGGTAGTCCAGCCCAACCTGTAATTCATTATGCTCTGATGGTGAGTTAACCCAAGGGTTGCATTTCAGGCATGACACAGAAAGGACCTGAATGAAGGGAAGAAAGAATGAATGGAGAGAACTATTTTGATGGGATTGCCCTAAGGAATTAATGAGGATGGGGTAGCTGGGGGCTGGAGGAAGCTTGTTGCTTAAGAAACACTTTTCATAACAGTGTCAGTCATCAGTCTTTAACAATCATTCATTTTTTACCTCCCACTTTTGTGTATAAATCAGCAGATTTGCAAAGACCTCCAGTGTGGTCATTATAATGAATTGAGTTTATTGTGAAACACACAAAAAAAGAATTTCTTTTTTTGCTCACTTACAGCCAATGTAATATTATTAATATTCTGAATGGAAGAACAAGGAATTTAAGAAATACATTTATGCAACAGCATAACCCCAAATTGCAACTCAAATACAGGCTGCCCACTGCTCTCTTTAAAAAATAAAATGTAAAAAAAAAAGGCAGTCTTACCAAGCAAAATTGAGGCAAATTGAAATAGGACTTAAAATGCTGGATTCCATCATTTCTGTAAAAGGTCACTCTAGTCCTGTACTGTTTTTACCATAGAGGAGACACAGCAAATTATTTGCTGAATGGATTGGGGAAGCCAGAAGCTACTGCTTCTGAGAACGGGATGATAATGCAGCACTTGAGACTGAGTGAATGAAAGGTGTGGAAAGTTGAACCTTCAAAGATAAGAGAGAGGGAGCTGTAAATGAGCCCCTGACTAAATTACTAGCCGTAACTATGCTCAGGCCAATTCTCTTTGAAACTGCCTTGTAATCTTTCTTGTGGCTTTGATGGAGAAATCCCCAGTCCCAGCTCAAATCCCTTTTAAAGCATCTCAGCCCAACCCCCTCCTCCCAAAGCAGCTCTTCCTAGCCCCCCACCCCCAATCCAGTAAATTTGAAACATGGCAGGTATCGTTCTCAGCTTGACCACTGTTATCAGAACCACGGCTTCCATGAAGGTTTTAGCAGCCAAACCTTAGGCTTACCTCAGACAAGCCTTCAAAAGCATTTAAGAGAAGCCCAGAAAACAAAAGAAACAAACAGAACCTGTCCTTACCCGCTTCTTAAAAAATTGGAAGGCTGAGCATTTCTTGACTGGGAATCCATTCATGTCTTTGTTTACCATTTTCCACAGTGGGGAGTTCACTGTTACAGATCCAGGGTGGCACCCGCCTGGTTAGTGCATCTGTTTCCCCGGTTTCCCTCCTGGAGACAGTTAATGAGGACGGAGCGGGATGGAGACTCTAGCGGGGCTCAGTGCTTCACTCGCACGTTCTGCAGCATCAGCTACTGCAGCAACCTCTCCCCACTTTCAGTTGCCACCGGCAGTGGCTTTTCTCTTTCCATCATTGCTCTGAGACAGATGCATCACCGCTGTAGGACCCCGGGGGCCGGCCGGCGGGACACGGCCAATCTCCGGGAGATGCTCTTGCCCCCTCCCCGCCCCCCGCTACCTGGCTGCTCGGCGGCCGGTGCAGCTAGCGAGGCGCTCCTGTCCAGGTGATGCGCTGCTGGAGGCTGCTCGAGAGCAGAGCTGTTTTTGATTGTGCAAGTTCCAGTGGGAGCTGTAGTTAAGCAGCTGAGAGAAGGAGTAAGAAAGAGCAGAAGCCAGAGAGGAGGGAGAGCCGCGCCAGAAAAGCAGGGGGCGAGAGAAAGCGAGGCTGGAGGAAGGCTTCGTGAGGCTCTGAGCAGCGGGTGCAGAGAAGTCAGGAGCTCAGCACGCACCGAAGAGCAGTGGGCTCCCCCTGGGAGGGCGACTTGAACTGCTTTTTCTTTGCTTTTGCTGATAGGACCATTTAAATCACAGTTTCATATATAATGCAGACCACCTTTATTTTATGCTTCTTGAAATTCTCCTGATACCTATCCCTGAATAAAAGCCTCTCAACGGAAATGTGATCAAATTTATTCCTGACCTGTCCAAACGTGGGGAAAAAATGAAATCAAGTGCAAGCGTAGGTATAACAATGGAAGATCTCTCGCCATGTAGCTATCTCTTCTAGCATCCTCTCGCTTACTCTTCACAATATAGTGGGCAACAGGGAAGGGCATCGTGTCCTGTTCACTAAAGAAGCCTTTTTTTTTTTTAAAGAGCACAATGGACATGTACAAAGTATCTTGTGCAAAACAAACAAACAAAAAAACAAGGAGCATCACCAAAAAGTATGACTGAATTCATTTAGTGAATAGAAAGGTCTAGTAAATCACAGTAAAGATTCTATCAAGTGAAAATTTATGCCAAAATTCTTACTTGTGTTACCCTTTGCACATTAAGTTCATTTAAAAAAGCCATTTAATTGTGTGTGGCTTATTTTTCCATTTTAACTCTTTAATGGTGATATTTTATGGGTTTTTTAAAAAATTAGAGTTTAGAGTTAAATGGAGAGAGCAAGAAAAAGAAAATAAACTTGGCATCTGATCAGGCACTGCTACGACATCAGTGTGTGGCTTTCTGACAGCCACCTGACCTCACTGTGCCTTTCAGACGCTGCCTCATCCATAACATGGAAGCAGCCACTCATTCACTCACTCATTCATTTATTTCGTCATTCACTTGTATGCTGTATCATTCCACTAATCCATCAAATTAGATTCAAATGTAGCAAGTGTCCTCGGGATGTGAGTCTTTTCATAGTCACCATGAGAGAATATAAGATAAATAAGGGAAAGGCACAATGCCGACTTGATGAAACTAATAGTCACCTCATTAAAAACAACATGCCTAACATTGTTAAAATATTTATATGGCAGTCTCTGGTAAGAAGAGAAACATACAGGTTAATTGGGGAAGGGATGCATTGGTTTCATTGAATTGGAGTGTAAATCTCTATAATTGGGCCAGATTTTTTGGGAAAACAGTGAAATCTTGTTTGCTAAATGCCTTGAGGCTTCCAAAAGGAAAATGCAACACAACCAAATGATGGTATGAAAACCAAGGGAAAACAAACTATTCATTTTGGAGTGATGCATTAAGTTCTCCAAGATGCAAGGATACATTACATAACCTACAACATTGATAGGTTTTGTGGTTCTTCTAGAGTTCATTTATAGTTATGGTAGTTCAAAGGGAATGATTTAGGGATGATAGAAATGTTCTCTGTCATGATTGTGGTGTGGTTACATGACTATACCTTTGTCACAACCCACATGTACTAGCACGTGTCTTCAGGTAGACTATGTTTATTTGGGGTGAAGGGAGATGGCTAATAGAAATTATGAAGGAGGAGGCCAAGACAAAATTAAATACTATACCTGCCCCCACTACATGCCACCCCTTGGGGATGCTGCCACACCTAGTCTATGCTAAATCTTATGAAAGGTGCTATGAATACGAACATCAGTGGTCTCCGTCACTAAGAAACTCACAGCTTAGTGGAGAAATACATACTGTGCTGAGAATCACATATATATGTATGGATGTATGTATATGTGCATGTATATATATAACCTCGCCTTGGTTTGGAGGGGGCAGGATGGGGTAGAGTGAATGGCAGAGGCCCAGGAATTCTTCCTCAAAGGGATTATGTCAGTGTAAAGCCTTGAAGAATGAATAAAGGTCAGCCAAGTGAAGGGAGAGAAGCATAGGGCAGGGGTTTTGACCAGACAGCCCGTTATTTTGGACTATATTTTGGTCAGCGCAATAATAGACTTGTGTTAACTGCACTGAGTTGGTTACTCGGGGGGAAAAAAAAAAAGCATCTTTCATCTCACTCTTACCTCTATTTCTCTATTTTCTTAAATAAAGCTGCCTGCAGGTAGGCCCAGAGTGACTATTAACTAAATGTCTCCTTTGACAGGCCTACTGTTAATACTTAGAAAGGAGTGTAGGCTACTGCTCATGGTAAAAACAAAAATAACCCCTGGACTCTTGAAACATCCTGTTTATACATTAAGCTTGTTTTAATTTAATTAATGAATTTACTTACCTCTTCTCATTAAACATGCTAACTCCTTTTTTTTTTTTTTTTGGCAGTTGGCCAGTCAGGGGATCCAAACCCTTGGCCTTGGGCTAATTCATTTTTGTTGCCCCTCCACACAGTGGAGTGCCTGGGCCATTCTAGGCACTCAAGGAAACCTTCAAATGGATTAAATAAAAAACCAAGTAAAGCTGCCATCAGTGACCCTGGCACTAGACCATTCACAGGAATCATTAAATACCTCTGAGATTCTTAAACCATTAAGTTAATTCCCATTATAACCAATGTGCTGAGGTCTAATAAAAGCAAATGACCCTGAGTCCTCATTATGTCTTCTTTAAGCCCCAATAACATGGTTGCCCTGTGATGACACTTCTTTTTTATGGAAAATCCTAATGTTAAAGAAAATCCCTTGAACTTCTATTTGCTTTTTTGTGGTATATTCACTTTTTCTCCCAACAATACACTATAACACAATGAATAAAATAAAGTAGCTATGTAGGACTGACTACCAATATATGCCTGGAGTGGAAAGAGTGCTATGTTGATTTGGAAGATCTCATTACTAACTTCCCTTCCCTAATTGTGCAACTTCAACAAGTCCTCTCAACTCTCTGAGCCTCAGGTTCCTCATCTGGAAAATAATAATAATAAAGTGTTTTTTTACCTACCTCATAAGGGAATAGTCAGTACCAAATTATATTTGAAAAGGATTTGCGAAGCAGTAAATTACTCTACCTTTTTTATTTTACTAAACAAGAGACATATACTGCTGTAAAAACCTTTTAGAAACTCGATCTTTCCATAAAGTGTTTTTGTGTGATACATTTAGTTGTTGAGTGGAATGTAATTTTTTTTTATATATAGCATCCTAGAAAACACAAAAGATAATGAACAGTAAAATATCTGTTTAGTGACAAATGATCCTAAGGAGAAAAGGATACAAATAGATCATGTCATGAGAAATGTTTTACATTCCTCTTTGGCTTGGGTATGATGTATGTAATTAGGAGTTAGGAAACCCCACTGGGGATTGTGGGTTTTTAAATTTTTTTTCTTTTTTTCTCAGTAGATGCAGAAAAACACGGGTTTATTTTTTGTACATATGAAAGATCCCCCCCTTTAAAAAAAATTAGAATACTTTGCTTTCACCAAATTCAATTTCTTTTCAATTAATTCATACATATTTCAGAGTGAAAGTTACAAAAGAAAAACCAAGCCTTAAAATATCAGTTTTTTCTATTTTTAGTTTGAGAGAAAGAATTATATGAAAACAACAAAAACGATCAATACCATAATGGAATTTTGCAGAAAAGATGCAAGTAGCAAAGGATTATGCTGACTTTTGTGTATAACAGATAAGGGAGAATTGAAGTGCTCTATTCTTGCATTTTGTGTCTGTTCTCACTGTTAAAAAAAAAACATGCAATTTATAGATATACAGCTTCTTTTTAGAGTCAATATTTATCAACTATCTTATTCTAATTGGCAAAAAGGTCAAGCAATATTTCTAGTGTTAATTGGTTTGACACTTATTGAATATCAGATATGTGCTAGTCATTACAAAAAAGAGAACAAACCAATGAAACAAATGGCATTTGCCTTGGCAAATCCCATCTAATATGTAACATTTAATCCAATGCAACACATTTGGTTTTTTTCCAAGGATATGGTTTTAGCCAGATTGCCAAATAAACAGGACTTTTATTTATTCCTATTACCTGAAACATTTTTAGATGGAATCAGAAAATGTAGTTCCTTAGTTTAAGAGAAGCTGTAAGCAGCTGATTAAAAATGTATGACGCCTCCCTAAAGTCTCTGTTACTTGCTTTTTACCTGGGCCCGCTCACCCACTCAGGCACCCACCCCCACACACCTCTCTTTTTTTTTTCTCATTTGTTCTATATGATAAAATGGTGTGAAAAATGTTTATGACACAGGCTCTTTTAAAACAAAGGCATAATGAAATCCTGTCTTTTTTGTGGCAATGTGACAACATGTCACCCGAGGGGACAAATCAATTTGTTAGTAATTGCTCGTTTGCATATTAGTGATAATTCAGTCAGTATCAACAATGAATTTTACAGCTCTCCCAGATTTCACATTTATACAGTTATTTCTATTTCCTTGTTTAAATCATACAAAGGATTTAAAACCTTCAAAGACTGTTTATTTTAGTGAAAATATATTTCTTTGAACTTCCTTTTGGTCTGACCCTTCTCATAATAGTGATCTCTTGTCTCCTCAGTCAGGGCATTTTCAACATTGCAGCAAGACTTTGTCTTCATGTAAATCTCATTGATAGAGGCCTGGAAAACACACAGACCTGGAAAATATACACATTCTTACACACAAACACGTACACATGTACACAGTCGGTGGGAATGAATACAGTAGATCAGCAGAGCATCCTGCCAAGGTCATTATCATTTATGAATTGGATTGCCTTGTAAATGACGTTGAGAAATGAAGTTGAAACCATAGATGGTAATGGATTTTACAGCCTTTTTATAAGATGCTTTTAAAAATATTATTAGTTACTCCTCTTTTTTTCTTTTTTTTCTTTCAACGTTGAACCTTTGAGATCAGGTTCAAATGATCCCTTAACTGATAGACCAGAAGGTTATATTTCAACTTGACTTGTCCAAAAGGTTTTCATTAGCTGTTTCTCTATGTACAGCACAAATGAACCATGGCACAGGAGGGTTGCTCTTGTCAGCCTTCTCACCATGCTGTGTACATGATGAAACAGGCTATTGTGAC